CCCCCCCCTCTCTCTCTCTCTTTCATGCATTAACGCCTCAAACTTCACCCATTAGCACTTTTCCCCGACCTGACCCTGCGAACCTGGAGTAATGATTTAAAATTACTGCTATCTGTTGATCAGTATGGCTTTGTGCTCAAAGGGAACAGAGCAAAACTCACTAAAAGAGAAACCTGATAGCACTGGTAAGTATATATATCCAGGCTCTGAGGACAAGGGTGGCATTAGAATACAAGTATCAGCATCGAAAAATAGTTGTTAATAAGAATACTTATGTGTTTGTAATTTTTGATAGTGCATGTAAATGTTTTTCACCCCCATCGACACATTGAGATAATTTGTAAGGCAGGCTAGTCCACCATGCCTGTCAAGACTAGACCGGACTGAAAGGGATACAACATCCCAACATACAAACGCAGGCACTGAAAAAAACCCTCCCTAAACGAGAATCGAACTCTCATCTTCGACGTTGGACAGCGAAGCACGTAACTGCTAAACCAGAGACGCCGTTGAATCAGCCGATAGTATGATCTGTGTTGGAACATCGTGAAAATAATTCCATTTACGTAAATGATTATAGAATAAGACAAAGAAGAGACTCCACAGGTTGATGGCTGCCTCGCGAAATCAGCTCCTAGCACTAAACCATCATCCGTGAAGATTTCCCAGTCGTCGTGGTTTCAGAGCTACTTTGCTATCACCTTCTGTCCCTTTACTTAACCTGATTTGTTTTTTAATGGCTATACTCCGATGTCATATAATTTCACCGCTTTCAAACAATAACTATCGGTTCGCCCGTGGTGTGATGACGGTAATGCCCAATACGGTTCCACTCAAGATATGTAAGTTCTCTTTGTTAGTGAGAAAGTTTATTTCGTCAACTTTCTACGTATTTTGGCCTGGGTGTAGTATCTCACTCAGCCCAGGTTTGTCGTGTAAGGCAAAATCAAAGCAGCCGTTTTCCTAAATAATTATATTCGTGTCGACATGGAAGTAAAAATTTCGCAAATTACCACATTCAAAGCCAATTTGAAAAGAGTGGAAATGTGAAAACTCAACTGACACTTTTTCAAAGTATGTTTACTTACATCATCTGACCTATCCACCCCCTTCCGCTCCCACCTGCAAAAAAACCCAATCACACACACACACACACACACACACACACACACACACACACACACACACACACAAACTAACAGAAAGCCCACAC